AGCCGCAATTTAAGCACCGCCATCAACGTCTGTTCGTATCTCGGCATCCCTCTTCACCCCGAGAAGTGTGAAGGTCCATCTACCTCACTKGTGGTTTTGGGTATCGAACTCGACTCTCTTAATCAAGTTGCCCGCTTACCGGAGCTCAAGCTAACAAGGCTGCGGTTGTTGYTCGACTCTTGGGCTAATCGTCGATGGTGCCGTCGAAAGGACCTCGAATCTCTCATTGGTCACTTGCACCATGCTGCTAAGGTCGTCTGGCCGGGTCGCACCTTCATTCGTCGCATGATAAACCTACTGTGCTGTTTTAGGGATGCATCCCACCCCATCCGCCTTAATGCTGAATTCCACTTGGATCTTAATTGGTGGCGTCAGTTTCTCGAGTCCTGGAACGGTGTTAGTTTTTGGCTATATCCTGGCTTATCCCCAGYCCCTACGGTAGTTGTCACTTCTGACGCCGCTGGTGCGTTGGGCTACGGAGCTTTCTGGAACGAGAAATGGTTCAATGGCGTGTGGTTCGAACCTCAAATACCCCTTTCAATAGCGTACAAAGAGCTCTTCCCGATTGTTATTGCAGGTCATGTTTGGGGTCATCAGTGGGTGAAGCAACACGTTCTTTTTAGATCTGATAATGAGGCGGTGGTTGCGATCCTCAACTCAAGAACCTCCAAAGTCCCTCCTATCATGGGCCTCGTACGCAGTCTACTGTTAGTCGCTACCAAATCCAGTTTCACTTTCTCCGCCCAGCATGTCCCAGGAGAAAAGAACCCTATTGCTGACGCCCTTTCTCGTTTTCGTTGGCAGGTCTTCTTTCAACTTGCACCATGGGCCCAACCGTCTCCAACCCCGATTCCTGCTTGGCTTCTGGAGGAGCTCACACTGGCTCTCTAGATGCTCGATGCCGCGAATTTCTCATACAGGGTCTAGCACACTCCACCCGACGTTCCTATGCAAGCGGCCAAAASAGGTTTATTGAATTTTGTACCCAACTGGGTAAAATTCACGCAAATGGCTCCCCCTGTCCAGCCGACGAATGGACCTTGTGTCTTTTCGCCACGTTCCTTTCCAGCTCTATYAGTCATGCATCAATCAAGGTATATTTATCCGCGGTCCGTGCTCTTCACGTCGAGATGGGTTTACCTGACCCTCTCCGTAATTGTTTGCGGCTACAGAGAGTCATCAAGGGGATCAACCGCGYGCAAGGCCTTRAAAAAYCTSAACGACTACCTGTTACCGACGACATAATGTGGATCATTTTCAGGCATCTGAACATGGACCTGGCGGACCATAGSATGTTTTGGGCAGCATGTTGCTTAGCCTATTTTGGRTTTCTTCGTTCTGCAGAGTTCACTGTGCCAAATCKYAATTGYTACTCTCCTGAGATACATTTAAACGTTCGCGACATAGCCGTGGACTCCACGACGTCTACTACCTGTATTCGTGTCAACGTCAAGGCATCTAAGACTGACCCGTTTCGCAAGGGGTGTCATATCTTCATTGGGAGAGCTAAACCCCCTCTATGCGCGGTTGAAGCAATACTCTCATACATGGCAATTCGGGGAGACTCACCGGGTCCCCTGTTCCTCTTTCAGTCAGGACAACCTTTAACCCGCGTCCTTCTAACAAAGTGGCTAAGGGACATTTTGTCTGTTGCAAACGTCCCGGGAAATTACTCGAGCCATAGTTTCAGGATTGGGGCAGCCACGGTTGCGGCCCGCAATGGTGTGCCAGACCACCTCATTCAGACCTTGGGTCGTTGGTCTAGTAACGCGTTCCAGAGCTACATTAGAACCCCAATAGAGGCACTTGCTTCTGCTTCTGCTCGTCTGAGTTAACTTGAATAAATCACCGTTTTTTCGAGCTTCCGGTCTCCGTGTTTCTCTCAGGTTGGGGTGCTTGGAATGTCTTGGATGAGGAGGTACCATGGTAACCGGTCACAGTGTCCTCTACCAAGCACCCTTGGTCGATCTTCGGTGGTGAGCTGTGGCCCGGTTGCCATGGTTACCTTCCAGCGGGGACGCGATCTGTCGCATCCTGAGCTCGCCCTGGTACCTAACCCCAACTCATTTGTCGATGAGTTTAAATGTGGCTAAATGAAATTTAGGCGAAGTTAAAATCGAGACAATGCATGCTGCTCAGCGGTCTTCCCAACAATGTGCGGGAGGGACCCAGGGCATTATCAGGGGCTTACTTGCCGTGTTTGCAGTGCTGGTGGATTTGCACCAAGAGTTTTTCTCCCACCCTCCYTCCTCTGCTAATAGGTTCTCTACAGGTGAGTATATACTCCACTGAATCTCAGTGTGACAGGTACCGGTGGTGAGCTGTGGCCCGGTTGCCATGGTTACTTTCCAGCGGGGACGCGATCTGTCGCATCCTGAGCTCGCCCTGGTACCTAACCCCAACTCATTTGTCGATGAGTTTAAGGGAAGGGAAGAGAAGAAAGACAAAAAAGCAGTGCAAGAAAAGGACAAGACATTATAATAGCAACTAATTTCATATTCTTTTATTTTCATTTTTCCAATTTTCACTAATTTACATTAGACTATTCGGTCACTGTAATATTGAACTCTCATCAGCTATCCCGTATATTTCTTTCACTATTATTTTTACAACCATGACTGAAGTAATTTTGTTAAGTTATATTATAGACCAAATTCAAACTCGCACCGATGTGAGGCTAAGTTGTGAACAAAGGGATCTGGCGTGACTCAAAGTAATCTGGCGTGATTCAAAAGTCACGAATCACGACTTTTGAATCACGCCAGATTACTTTGAGTCACGCCAGATTCCTTTGTTCACAACTTAAGCCTCACATCGGTGCGAGTTTTGAATTTGGTCTTGAATAATTTATATAATGTAATTGAGTTACATTACTGATACCAACTAAAATATCTTCGTATTTTTTTATATTTATTTAATTTTCATAGTTTACCTTCAGTCAGAATTTATTACGAATTAAGGTTAAATAATTTTTCACGTTTCACGCTATAAAATTTGTATATAAGTATGTAGTGTTTATATTGAGAACTATCATCCTAAAAGTTGATATATATTTTTGTGAAGTATATGTACGAATACCCGCCAAGTAAACATTCATAAATCCTACATCTCTCTAAAATATTATGTAAAAATCACGATTTTGCATTCAAAAGTCCTATTGTCCTTACGAAAAATAGCTAAAAGAAAAACTAACGTGACTTCTAAATGGTTTTTCATTCTGAACAAATTAAATAGCTCGAGCACGAAATTGAAATGAAATTCTGTTCTTTTTCTTCTTCTTCCTTTTCTTGTTCTTCTTGCTCTTGTTCTTGTTCTTGTTCTT